GAACCGCACCCATGCTGACTAAGCGGCAGCCAGGGGCTCTCTTAAGGGGCCCCCAGGTGCGCACCCCTGGCCTCGGGCCCAGGGAACTCCCACCCAGGCAGTGGCCCGCGCCGGCAGGGACACTCACCCCCAGGCCTCAGGTACTTCTTGGCGTGCAGGTAGCTCTCGAGCATGCGCTCGTTGAAGAGCATGTAGCCCATGGGCTCCGAGATGATGATGTCCACCTGCTCGGGGAGTGAGACCTCCTCCACCTTCCCGGGGATGACCACGATGCGGTCTGTGAGGTTGTTACTTTTCACCAAGACCTGAGGGCGGGCGAGCCACAGGGGTCACGGGGGTCCTCGCGGGGGAGGGCCTCCGTCCACACTCGGCCACCAGATTCCCCTCTGCCTCCCTGTCGGGTCGCCCCTCCTGCAGCTCTGCAGCCTCCTGCTGTCACCTTGGGGACGAGGACAAGTAGGCCTTGCTACAGCCGCCAAAGCTAAACCTGGACACACCTTCCGACCCAGCGATTCCAGTGCTAGGAATCTGCCCTACAGACGTAACCTCACACGGAGAGGGGACACGTGTACAGGGGATTCGGTGCAGCGTTTGTGCTACAGACCGAGAAGCAGCCTCCGTGTCAATTACAGCCTGTGTCTCAACACACAATGGTTCGTCCAGGCAAAGAGATGATCTGCAGCCACTAGAAAGTGTGAGGAAGCTCTTTACATGATGACACAGACATATCCCAGATGTATCGTAAAGAGAGCAGAGCCAGGTGCAAGACAGTGGCGTGTACATTCGTGTGGGAGCCGGCGGGTGGAGAAGCCCATGGGGGCTCATGGAGCGGCTCTGGGGACCTTCTACATACGTATCTCTCCCTCCAGTGCGGGGGATCTAGGTGGTTGGGAGCCAGAGGTCGGGGAGGGAAGCATCCTCACTGTTTACCTTTGTAGCTTTTAGGTTTTAAACTTTGTGAATGAGGGCTTCAGTGCCAAAAAAGCATCAACTGACAAAATGAAATCCTGTTGTCATCCACCTCTCAGGTGGGGCTCAGAGAGGTGGGCGGCTTGCCCCGGGCTGAGATCCCACCCTGGTCTGTGTGACTGCACAGTCCAACCCCTGAAGCACCAGTCCATCTAGCTCCTGAAGGCCCCAAATCACCCCTGAACCCGGTGGGCCACCATCTGTCATGGAAGGGAGACTACCTCAGGCCCAGCAAGCCCCTCCCCACGAAACCACTCAGTTTCGGGGACAAGAGACCAAAGTAGAGAATGACATTGCCAGGCTCCCCTGGACCCAGGGGTCAGGTCTCCTGGGGGCTCCCAGCAGGGCTGGCATCCCCCAGGCTGGAGCAGGCACAGAGCTGGGGCACGGAGACAGGTTGGCACCCCGAGGGCCACGGACCTCGGCGTGCTGGGCCATGGTGCTGGCTTCCACCGCGTAGATCTTCCTCGCTCCAGCCTGGGCGGCGAAAAACGACAGGATCCCAGAGCCGCAGCCGACGTCAAGAACGATCTGAGGGAGGAGGGGGCAGTGAGGACAAATTAGTGGTAAAGTGACGTGATCGTAAAGATGTGTGTGTCACGGGGCGCTCCCTCCCCGCAGACCCACCCACAGAGCACGCTCTCCGCCCTGCGGCCTGCTTCCCCTCTACACGGACAGCTGCCCACGAGGGTGCTTTCTGAGAGCCACAGGAGCCTGCAGTTTGGATCCAAAGGTGGTAGAGTGGGACTTCTGAGGACAGCTAGGATGTTAAGACCAGTACACACTCTCAGACCCGATTCAAGAAGGAATGGTGTGCGCTGTCTATGCAGCATGTGGGAATGAGTGCTCACTAGGTAAGGACACCTCTGAGCCCCGCAGCAGAACCACTGAGACGCAGGGCTGACTGGCCAGGGCCACGCGGCCAGCAGGAAGAGGGCAGCCTCCCACCCCAGGCCCAACAGGGCAACCCCGCAACCTGGGAAGAGCCCCGGGGAAAGCTCCCACTCGGGTGCCCTCTCTAGGGCTGCTGGGCCCCAGAGCACAGGCTCTGGGAGGAGTCCCGGCTAGTGTGTGGTAGACTGTCCCACACTCTGGATCCGTCTGACTGCTTCCGCGCACAAGCAGAATCAGGATAAATGTTTCTGGTGCGCACGTGCTAAAGGAGACCTGCTCTGGGCGCAGTGGTGGGGCACAGGGCGAGCGCCCAGCAGGGGGGCTGGTGTTGTCTGGTGGGAGGGCCTCGGGTGCCTCTCAGAGCTCTGGATGAACTAGGAAATGGATCTGCGTCCTGGGAGAGCTGGAAGAGGCTTCGCTGAAGGGACATGGGCTTCCTGGGCCCCAAACACTGCTCCAACACTGCCCACACCAGCCGCCAGGGCATAGGGATGGCTGCTGTGTCGAGGATGACTCCTCCCCAGCCTGTGGGGCTTAGGCCCTGGGACCGGGAGGCTCAGTCACCTGAGGGGATTCTCAGCAATGCTGGGGGAGTGTATCACCAAGGCGCTGGATGACATAGATCCACGTGGATCATGTGGAGAGTCCCCTAGATATGTCGAGAAAACCACAAGCTTTCATGTGGTTAAAAAGGAGAAACAAACTCCAGGCCATGAGAAGAGAACAAAATAAAATTTCACCTCCGAATATATATACTCTGGTCTCTTTTTAATCACGAGTATATAGTTGATCCTTGAACAATGCGGGAGTCAGGGACGACGCCAACCCCACCACCCGGTAGAAAATCCGAGTATAACCATACAGTTGGCCCGCCATACCTACGGGTCTGCAGCCGCAGATTCAACCAACTGTGGATCGTGTAGCACAGTTGCTCATATCTACAGAAAACAGTCTGCATATAAGTGGACCAGTGCAGTTCAAACCCATGCTGTTCAAGGGTCAACTGCTCACTACTTGGTAACAGTAAAAAGATTTTAAAAGGACCTAGGGAAGTGACTAGATTACATTATATCCACGTAACTTAACAGTACGTGCCAAGACACAACATTAAGTGGGGGAAAAGTATTTTGCAGGAAGCAAATGTAGAATACAGTCCTATTTTGTATATCTGTATTTTAAAAAAGATTATAAGCCTAAAATATATATGCTGGTATACGCATGGGGAAAATTTTGGAAGAAGAGAGCTTTACTGTTGGCAGTGGTCATTCTGGAGGGAAATGACAGGCCTTTCACGCCCAACTGATACACACTGGGCTTCTACAAAAAGTAGATTTTGCTTTTGCAATCTGAAAAAATTAAAGATAAAATCAATGAACAAAGGGGGAAAAAAGAAAATAGAGGCTACTGAGCCAGTGAGGTGGGCACGGAGCCTGAGGGAGAGGGAGGAAGGCAGCAGGGTGGATGCAGCCGGCCCCGCTCACCTTGTCCTTGAAGTCCGTGTGGTTCTGCAGGATTGCACGCTGGTAGGTGCCTGTCCGCACGTAGTCCTGCATCATGTTCTGCTGCTGGGACAGGTAGCCATAAAACTGGAACAGAGACATGCCAATGGCACAGGGCACGCAGCAGACAGACGGCTGAGGCCCTGGCCGACCCTGTGACAGAGGAGGGTCCGCTTCGGGCAGAGATCTCCCTGGGGAGGCCACACCCCCTCTGCTGGCCTGGACTCCCCGGCTACCTGCTCCAGTAGAGGGAGCTGGAAGCTAGAGGCAGCCCCCAGGGAGGACACCACCGCCGTCACTGTGGCCAACGGACACAGTTGGTTGATAGCTGGTCCTGGAAGCCACCCAGGAGAACTCAGGATATGCCACACGCAGGGTTCTGGGATCAAGGGCCACCTGCCCCATGTTAGGGGCCCCAAAGAAGTGGAGGAGTGGATCAAACAGAACCCTAGAACTCAGAGCGCCAGGCAGGTGAGGTGCTGTGGGGTCTCTTTGTAAGACAACAGGCGATCGGGAGGCAGCGTGGCACCTGGGCAGGGGCACAGGCTTTGGCATCAGGCAGACCTGGCTTCCCATCTTGGCTCTGTTGCATAATAGCTGTGTGACTTGGAGCAAGTCACTTAACCTCTCTGAGCCTCAGTTTTCTCATCTGTAAAATGGGGACAACAATAGTACTTACCTCCTAGAGTTGTTGGGAGGGTTCAAGTACTTCCGTACGTGTCAAAGCGCTGGGGCCAGTGGCTGGCATGCCCTACGTGTTCAGGACATTGTAACTATGCTATCATTACTCAAAATGCCTGTGGACCCGAGCTTCACCTGCACTCAAATCTTTCCAGCAACCCTCGTAGGCAGGCACTGGCATCTCTGTTTCACAGATGAGGAAACTGAGGCCCGGCAAGCGGAGGAAACCTGCCCAAGGTTACTCAGCGAGTAAGGGGCAGAGCCAGGACATGAACCCGGGTGGGCCTGCCCTGTGCCGCATGGCCTCTGGGGGCCACCGGGGGCAGCAGCCTGGCCCAGGCAGTATGTACCCACCTGGAAATACTGCACAGCAGAGGACTCCTCCGTGCGCTCACTGAACACCGACCGCTCCAGGGTGTGGCCCCGGCAGGTTTTCAGGATGTTATAGAAGGAACAGAAATCTGGAAGGGGGAAGCCGGCTCAGGGGTGGCGGGCTCTGTCTAGGCGTGCACCCCGACTTTTCTACCTTGAGCACGAGTGATCTGAACCCCCCCCCCCCACACACACACACAGATACACACAAATGTTGAAGTTGAAGGAAAAGAAGAAGGGCAGCCAAGCCTGCCTCTCGGTGACTGGCACGGGGGAAGGCAGGTGTCGGGGGCGAGCGTGCTCCACGCGGCTGGCGCTGCTTTGCCAGAGGGCAGCTTGGCCAAAGCCTTCAAAGGATGACCCGGGCATCAAGTCTCTGGGACTCACCCCAGCAGATACCCGTGGGTCCACCCACAGCTCACGGCAGTGTCTGTGTGTGGCAAGTGGACACAGGGACACCACCCCAGTGTCCGGTCAGAGGGGGCTGGATGGACCCCAGTGGACACTGAGAAGCACATGACAGAAGCAGTCAGCAGGGGTCTGCAGGACCAGGTGTTACGTGGCAAATGAACTATGTTTATGAACACAGACCACTAAACTGCATCAAGAAAAAGAAGCAAACAAAATCATGAAGACAGATAGGATGGTGGGGACCAGGGGCTGGAGGGGAGGGGGTGGGGGAGGGGGAGTTAGTGTTTAATGGGAACAGAGTTTCAGTTTGATGAAACTGGGTGATGAAAATGGGTGATGGAGATGCATGGTGGAGATGGCTGCACAACAACGTGAATGTGCTTTAATACCTCTGGAACCTGGACACTTGAAAATGGTTGATGGTAAATTTTACGTTAGGCGTATTTTAACACAATTAACTAAAAGACGGGACTTCCCTGGTGGCGCAGTAGTTAAGAATCCGCCTGCCAATGCAGGGGACACAGGTTCGATCCCTGATCCGGGAATATCCCACGTGCTGTAGAGAGACTAAGCCCATGCGCCACAACTACTGAGCCTGCGTGCCACAACTACTGAGCCCTCGCGCCACAACTACTGAGCCCACACACCTAGAGCCCGTGCTCTGCAACAAGAGAAGCCACTGCAATGAGAAGCCCGTGCACCTCAACGAAGAGCAGCCCCTGCTCACCACAACTAGAGAAAGCCCACGTGAAGCAATGAAGACCCAATGCAGCCAAAAATAAATTTTAAAAAAAACCCACCTAAAAGACAATATCTTACAAATATAGAGTTTGGGAAGATAAAACAGTTCTGGAGCTGGATGGTGGTGACAGTTGCACAATGTGCACAATGGTTGCACAATGAATACACTTAATACCACTTAATACCACTGAAATGTACACTCAAAAAGGGTTATTAACATGGTAGAATTGTTGCTATGTATACTTGACCATAATTTAAGAAACTGATAGGATTCAAAGGAAAAAAAATCAGAATATAACTATCCATGAAGCAGAAAAAGACTAGGCGGATCTAAAACATCAGCTCTTAATGATAACCCTGGTGGTCTTTCTGTAACTTATTTTTTTAAACATTGAATTGGGACTGATTTTGGATAAGGAAGGAAATGGAATGTGGAGCTTCTGGCAGGAGGTGGTCAGCCACCTGGCTGCTTTCTCCCAGGCCGGCCTTCTCTCAGCTCTGAAGCCAGGCCACCTGAGGGCGGGTAGTCCTGAGGGTCTGGGCTGGGGGAGCCTCCTCTCTTCATCGGGGGCACTGAGACAAGTAAGAGGGCTCTGGGGAAGCTGGGGGCAGCCGTGGGCAGGTGGCCTCTCCATCCTGGGCTCTCCTGCCCCAGCCCCTGCGCCGACCACCAGACCCACTGACTTCGGCTCTGCAGGGACCAAGCCCGGTTGCTGGAACCTTCGAGGGGTCTCCAGCCCAGGGTGGCTCACCACCTCCACTGCTGACCCCCACCCAGAGCCACCAGCAGCACTCGCCTGGGGCTCCGCAAGCCCTGCTCGTGTGTCCCCCAGATGGGTCTGCTTAGAACCCTCCAGAGTCTCCTCTGTGCTCGGAACAAAGCCTCTGCCAACCTCAGGACCTTGTCTCACCCCTTCCACTGCTGCGGGAGGGCTGGGCCCCTGACCCCCATCTGACCGGCTCCTCCAAGAGGCCTGGGGTGTGGGCAGGTCAGGACAGGCCTCTCAGAGGAGGCGACATATAAGCAGAGCCCAGAAGCACCCAAAGGAGCCGGCAAGGTCTGGGGCAGAGTGTCCAGGCAGCGAGCACGTACTCTTACTGTGGACGTATTTCTATTTGGGAATATTTCCGATGTTGGTGGGGCATTCGCTGGGTCAGATGAATGGGCTATGATCCACCCGGGCTCCAGGCCCCCCACCCGCCACGGCTGAGAGCCTAAGCCCCCTGGCTCTGGGCGCTCCGTGTGCTGCTGGGACAGAAGGGAGACGTACCGCTGGGCGTGGCGAACTGGATGAGGACGCTGTTGCAGCCCAGGGTGATGATGAAGGACTGCTTGCCCACACGGCTGCACTCCGTCTCCCGGGACACCGAGCACTTGAACACACAGACGTCTTCATCTGCGAGAGGAGGGAGGCGGGCGTGAGCCGCCAGGTCCCGGGGCCACCTCCCCCGCCCCACGGCACCCCAGATTCTTCCAGGGTGCCACAACACCCGCCCCACAAGCGCTGCCATGTGCTCTGCCTACCCAGCCTACGTGGAGGACGAGGCGGTGGCTGATCAGCAGCCCCAGCGGGGACACAGGATGCAGTCTGTCCAGCAGGAGAGGACAGTTGTCCACAGGGCAACCGGGGCTGAGGTGGGGGGACGGGGAGTTAACAGGCACTGGGGGGCCCGGGGGGCACGTTCCCTCACGGAGCACCTGCTGGTGCCAGCCCCATGTCGCTCCTGGGCACTGAGGTGGGAAGACACAGGGGAGAGGCCAAGCCTGGCAGGGTCAGAGGGTCACGGGAACCCAGCGGGCAGCCCAGGCCCAGCTGAGGGAGTCGGGCCTTCAGCCACCAGCCCCTCCGTGTCACACGGGGGCGTCGTCGGCCTTCAGAGCTGAGCAGGGGTGGGCGGGGGGTCAAGAAAGAAATGCCAGTGGCGCCTCTGCTTCCTCCCGCTGAGCCCCTTCCTTCTTGCATGTATTGTGAGTGTGGCCACAGGACCCAGACGGCCTGTGTTCACGCCCCGCCTACTCCACTTAGTGTGTCACCAGGGCAGGTCTGAGTCCTCAGTTTTCTCATCTGTCAAGCGGGACTAACGGTGGGGCAGGGGTCGGGCCCAACACACGCATACAGGAAGCACTCACTGCATCCCCGCACCCGCCACTACTACTGTTACTAGTCATTCACTCAACAAGCACGGGGCACCCCACCTCAGCCGAACCGTGAGACACGGCATCACCAGGAGACAAACCGACCCGATGCTGTAGCCCTGATGTGGGGCAGCGGGACAGACACCCTGGTCCCATCACGAGGGGACAACAGACAGTGCCAGATCACAGGGCAGTCTGCAAGACAACCTCCCTGGTTGCCTCAAAACGGCCAAGGTCAGGAAAGGCAAAAATTGCTGGGAAGTATTCCAGAGTGAAGGAGGCTAAAGAGACGTGACCATCAAATGCCAGGTGTGGTCCTGGACTGCAGCCTAATGAACACCGTTCAACAGCTACAAAGGACAAGTGGGGAAATGTGTGGACTGCAGGAGCCATAACTTCAAATGATCTAGATGTGACAGGAGCATTATTCTGCAGAAGAATGTTCTTATTATTGAAAGATACATATGGAAGGAAAGTGAATTGTTGTGATGCCTGCAACTTGCTTTCAAGTGGTTCACCAAATCAGCAACAACGACAAAATATATTTATAGAGAGAAGCATGAGTACAAATGTGCAAAGTGTTCCCAATCACCCTCATAACAGCCAAAACAATCTTGAAAAAAAAAACTAAAGCTGGAAGACTCACACTCCCCGATTTCAAAACGCCCTACGAAGGTATGGTAATCAAAACAGAATAGTATTGGCAAATGGAGAGACATATACATCAATAGAATTAGAGTCCAGAATAAACCCTATGTTTATAGTCAATTGATTTGTTTGTTTGTTTGTTTTTTATTTTTTGGCCATGCCTCATGTGGGCCATGGCTCACGGGCCTAGCCGCTCTGCGGCATGTGGGATCTTCGTTCCCTGACCAGGGATCGAACCCATGCCCCCTGCCTTGGAAGCACAGATTCTTAACCACTGGACCACCAGAGAAGTCCCATATAGCCCACTGATTTTTAACAAGGGTCCTGAGAACATTCAAGGGGCAGAAAATAGTCTCTTCAACAAATGGTGCTGGGACAGCTGGGTCTCCCTGTACAAGAGAATGAAGCTGGACTCCTACCCTCACACCATATATAAAACCTGACTCAAATTAATCAATGACCTAAACATAAGAGTGAAAACTATAAAACTCCTAGGAGAAAACAGAGGGGTAAATCTCTGAGACCTTGGATTTGGCAATGGATTCCTAGATATGACACCAAAAGCAAGAGTATCAAAAGAAAAACTACATAAACTGGACTTCATCAAAATTATAAACTTTTTGGGGAATTCCCTGGCGGTCCAGTGGTTAGGACTCGGTGTTTTCACTGCCAGGGGCCCAGGTTCGCTCCCTGGTTGGGGAACTAAGATCCTGAGAGCCATGCAGCACGGCCAAAAAAAAAAAAAATTTTTAAATAAACTTTTTGCATCAAAGGACAGTATCAAAAAAGCAAAAGGAGGGCTTCCCTGGTGGTGCAGTGGTTGAGAGTCCGCCTGCCGATGCAGGGGATACGGGTTCGTGCCCCGATCCCGGAAGATCCCACATGCCACGGAGCGGCTGGGCCCGTGAGCCATGGCCGCTGAGCCTGCGCGTCCAGAGCCTGTGTTCCGCAACGGGAGAGGCCACAACAGTGAGAGGCCCACGTACCACAAAAAAAAAAAGCGAAACAACAACCTACAGATAAGGATCTATTGTCCAGAATATATAAAGAACTCTTAACAACAAAAATATAACCCAATTCAAAAACGGCAAAGGACTTGAAGAGATGTTTCTCCAAAGGTATACAAATGACCAGCATGTGAAAAGGTGCACGTCATCATTAGTCATCAGGGACCTGCAACTCAAAACCACAATTAGATACCACTGTACACCCAGCAGGACGGCTGTAATTTTAAACAAAAAAGGGGGAAATAACACGTGTTGGCGAGAAATTGAATCCCTCAGACCCTGCTGGTGGGAACTTAAAATGGTACAGCCGCACAGAATTACCATTTGACTCAGCGATCCCACTCGTTAGGTATATACCCCAAAGAATTGAAAGCTGGTATTCAAATGAATACTTGATGCAAATATTCAAAGTGTTACTATTCAAAACAGCCAAAAAGTAGAAACCACTCAGATGTCCATCAACTGATGACTGGATAAACAAAATGTGGTCCATCCATACAATGGAATATCACTCAGCCATAAAAAGAAATAAGGCCCCAACCCACGGATGAGCCTCGGAAACATTATGCCGAGTGACAGAAGCCAGACATAAAAGCTCACAGGTATATGATCCCATATATATGGAACATCCAGAACCAGTAAATTCATAGAGACTGAAAGCAAAATTCGTGGTTGCCAGGGGCTGAGGGTGGGAGAATGGGGAATGACTGCTTAATGGAAACAAGGTTTTTCTCTTTGGATGATGAAAATATTTTGGAAATAGAGGTGATGGTTACCTGATACTGTGAGTGCACTAAATGCCACTCAATTGTTTTATGCTATGTGAATTTTATCTCAATAGAAAAAGAAAAATGTTCCCAATGGGTGAATCTGGATATGAAGGGCCTACGGGTGTCCGCTGGGCCCCTTGCTCTCCCCTTGTTTAGTCTGAGCCCTAAGCCTGGGCCACAGCCTGGAGGAGGCTCGCGGGGCCACAGCCTGGGTTTCTGCCAGATGACCTCCCACCTCTGGAGCCAGGTGCCACCTCCTGGAGGGAGAGAGGAGCAGGGCACAGGCAGCCTCCTGACAGCGGGCAGGAGGGAAGAGCCGATTGGGAGGCCAGCCCCAGGCTCACAGCCACGCCGCACCCACAGGGGACCCAAGACGAGGTGCTCCCAAGTCCAGCTATAAATGGGTCTCAGGAAGGGACCCGAAACCTTGACGTGGTACCCATGCCCACTCCTGGGGCAGAAAATAAAGCCGATCTGTCAGCTACTCCTGTGTGGCAGCGAGCAGACCAGGGAGGGCCTGTTTACAAAGCAGCCTGGCAACCTGACCAGCTGCCCTAGGCAGCCCCTGCAACCTGGCGCCAGGCAGGCGACCACAGTAAGGGAAGCTTGGCCGCATCCAGAGGCTCAGGCCAGGGAACCCAGGGCTAAGGGCAACCTGAACTGTCCCATCACAGCTGGGACCACCAAAGCCCATGGTGCCAGCATTTTGTATAAGTCACAGCTATACACCCACAGGCCAGTCCCTGGCACACAGGGGATGCTAGGTAAATATATGACAACCAAAAAAAAAAAATTTTAAAAAGCCACACCAGGCTCCTACCTCTTTTAAAGTCTCAGGAGAAGTCCAAGCTCTCGGACTGGCAGTCAAGGACCTCCCATCCCCAGCCCCTTCCCATGGCCACGCTCAGCGCCCCATTCCCCAGTGGGCAGGGCTCTGCACCCTTGGTCGATCGCCGTTCCCCTCCCCGCCCTCACTGGGAGGGGGCCCCCAGGACAGTGGGCAGAGGTGGTGGTGCTGGGCCTATCCCAACCAGGTGGTGCAGCCTGCCTCCTGGGCCCCGGGGGAGGGGTTCCTGGGAGAGGGCTTCTCCCCCCAGGAAAGGGGCCCGGAGCCCACAGGGCCCGGACCCAGCAGTGGGCAAGCGGTACAAGAGGCAGAACTGGTCTCTGTGCCCTGCCTCCAGAAACGAAGCCAGAAAGCTCCACCCTGGTCACACCAGCCGGCACATTCGGGGGCTGCTGCATGTACGCGGCCCGGAGAGGTGGGGACAGGAAGCGGGAGAGGGGCTGGCAGACTGCCGCGTCGCGCTAACTGGGGGCGACCACAAAGGGGGCTGCAGGCCAGGAGGCTGTGCTGGGGCCCCCCCGCAGCCAGGTCGGGCAGAGCCGGAGTCCCTCTTGCCTGAAGTGACGGGACGGGAGGGCTGAGCGGCGAACAGGCTCCGCAGAGGCTCACCCAAGACGGGCTCTGAACGGGAAACGAACTCTGAACGGGAAACGAACTCGGCCCAAGGAGTATTAGTCATGCCGCAGCCATCACAAACATGTCCACCCTGCTCCTGGACCCGGCCTGCCACCCCGGGCTGGCCTCCCAGCCACCACACTGCAAAGTCTGTCCCGCCCAGGTTCTGGGGCCAGGGGACAAGGGGCCGGAATAGCCAGGGACAAATCCACAGGCAATGCAGCGCTCGGGGTGCAGCAGGGGGAGCTAGGAAAACCACCCCACCTGTCTTGCTCCCTGGGGAGCAAGGCCCCTGAATATCCAAGTCACAAACACCAAGCTTCCACAGGCGGCGTGGCCCAGCACCCACCCACTCACACCCTGCTGAGACCAC